ATATAGAATCCTATAGGGTAATCCAGAAAAGGAACTACTATGGGGCCTATGGGTAAGCATTGGGAGGCATGTTCCCACGCGCTGACATGATTGGCTGAAGGGGTTTCGGTCACGAATTCGATCACCACTCCAGCGTTGCACAGGGCGGCGCTGCCATCGAGATGTAACAGAGGGGAGACAGAGAGCGAGAGCAGGAGAGAGCACGTTTTCAGGTGTGTACATACGTACACACACACACATGGAGAGAAAAGAGGAAGAGGTACTGTGTGTTCTCATACAATATATATATATGTATATATGTTATATGTGTATATGTACATAATATGCATATGTGTACATACATATTTATGTGCATATTCATGTGGTTTAATAGTCGTACATAACTACGAAAATACGTACATATACATACATGCATGCAGACTCTGCAATGTCTCGTGCTTGGCCTGCAAGAGGCCGACGATGGAAGTGCACAACAGAATAGTGCCGTGGAGTCCACCCAGATGCCGGATCAGGATTGGTTTCCGATTCAGGCAGTAGGCTCGTAGGGGGTGCATTAAGCGGCTTAAGTTGTTTTTTGCGCTTGGGTTGCTATGTTGCCGTTGATGCCAAGAAACTACGCAGGGGCACTGACGTGCAAAACCCCAGCACCGCTGTACCACTGACTCGAAGGAACCTCGCTCGGCCTGTGCAGAGTGAGTGCTGCGAAGGACGAGGAACAGCTCGACCCAGGCTTCCGACGCAGCTCTACACACACTTTGGAGGAGTGATGGATCCCCCAGCAACCCTAAACCTTAAACCCTAGACCCTAAACCCCTAAATCCCTAAACACCCAGACTTCTCCGTCTGACTAGCCCAGAAGTCTCGAGCCGTAGCCGCAGATTGTTTCCCTCCGATCCCGGATGAAAAGTGTAATCGAAAGGATCCAAGGTCATACATAAAGCTCAGAAACTCTGGCTGCAACGGCAGGGAGAGAGCGAAAGAGAGGCATGAAGCTCACCACATACTTATTAACATTGGCAGCCGCAGACCTCCTATCATCCGGTACATAAGTGGAAGCTCTGAATACACTGTCCTGTCGAGCAGCATCCTTTCGTCAAGTTGTCCGACCACTGCTCGATTTAGTTCTTCTAGCTGGACCCTTAGCGTACCATACATGGGCTTGACGGAAATTACACCTCTCAAGCTTCACTGACTGACGATTATGTGCAGCCCTTCATGGACTCGTGCTGCAAGGACATCGCCTGGAAAGACCCTGTGCAACCTGAGGCCGAGCCTGCATTCGGAGCACGTCGTGGTTGGAATGCTGCGACATGTTTCTGCTGTGTTTTTGTTCTTCAAGTTGGGGGGTAACTTCTGCCGAGGATCATACGATCAGGTAATTTGGGACGTCCCTGAGTTTCTGAAACACCCATGTATGAAAGTCCGCCTCTTGGCCATCAGGTTCCAGCAGGCCTTCCGCCCCCGCGGCCAGGATCTTCCAGTTGGCTGTGCTTGTACTTTCTAGGTCTCGCCAGACGATGAGGGGTTGGGCAGTCAGGATTTGAGGTTTCTAAGTTTCGACCAACAAGAACTGCAAGACTCTGATGCCAGGAGTTGCTGACCAGGCTGGGGCTATCGGCATTAGGTGCTGTTTCTGTTCTAGTCACTAGTCTATGTTGCGAGTTCTTGAACAGTTGGTTCAGGCCACCTGATGTATGTATGTGTGTGCGTGTGTGTGTGTTTCTGTTGTAGGGGGGGAGGGTGGGTCGATGTCAATATGGGTGGATAAGTACATGCATAGTATAGTGTGCATGTATACATGTTTCATGTATACATGTATACATGCATAGGTGTACCGTATCTATATATGTATATACACATACATACATATAAATTAATGCATGGGTTAAAGTGTATACATAATATATATATATATATATATATATATATAATATACACATGGATATACACATGTGTGTGTGACTCTGATCTCAATAAGTTGCGTTTCGGTTTGCATCGGTAGGAAGATGCTTGGCTGTTCGCGAATGCCCACGTTACTAGATTTGTCCTTCGAATATGTATGGATGCTCAGACAGCGAGAGTGAACACTCTCGCTCATATCATCGCTGTGTCTGTGAGCGCGCCATTTCGGAGCTTCTCAAGCTAGGGGACATGGAAGATATGGAAGCTAGGGGACAAAAATTTTTATCTCAGGGGTAAAGATTATTTCATCTCTTAATACTATGCGCCTCCAATTTTAAGAAAGCCCCCCACGCCTTTGTGCCCCATCGCGGCAGGAACTCCTGCAGAACGTGCGGCAGGGTTTTCTCGTTAACGAACTTACCATGAGCCAGTGGCGTATGGAGGCCGATCTCCAGTGACTCGGGTTTCTCTCACGATTGTCCGCACTACCAGAAGTATCGAACCGCCATTACATCAGCCTTGTCAAAGTATGCGGCTTTCGAAGAAGGCCTCTTACATGTGCAGGTATGTATGTACAACAGTTCATGCCTGTGTTTATGTTGCTGGCGTTTTTGGCGTCGTCGAACAACCACCACTGTAAACAGGTACTTGCTACATGCCGCTTGCTACATACCCTGATGTTCTTTACTTCTCAAGGACTCCCCCATACTACCACTATTTTGGCAAATGATCACTATACCGTGAACACCAAATACAGCTTCTGCTGATGCTACTGCTGCTGCTGCTGCGGCTGCTGCGGCTGCGACCACCACCACCACCACCACCACCACCACCACCACCACCACCACCACCACCACCACCACCACCACCTCGACTGCTACGGCTCCCGCTCTCCTGCTGTCCCACTCTTCTGCTCCTGGTGCTGCCGTTGCAACTGCCACTGCCACTGCTACTGCTGCTGCTGCTGCTCTCACTGCTACGACGGCTACTGAAACTGTTACAATTACTACCAGCACCACTAGCCCTACCACTACCACTACCGCTACCACCTGCTGTTGCTACTGTTGGTACAGACCTGAGTCCTCAGATCAGGCCCCTCTGCTGTGCAGATCTGGGTCTGGAATTCGGGCAGCCATCCCCTCGAGAAGAAAGCACTACAGTAGGACATGTAGGACCAGATTTCAGCTCTTTATTTATTGTGGTTCCAGTTTCAATTATGCCGGTTGACACTCGCTTATGGAGATAGGTAGTAGAACCACGGTAGACTCAGGCCTATACGCGCTTGGGTCGAAACATCGCAAGTGCGGCCAGAATGAAACGTCAAACAAGTCAATCTACCGCATCTGCAAATGATGTTCCTCAATCAACCTGAACCCGACTGCTTGGACGAGCAGGGCTGGAGTTTGGGTTGCATTCGTTGAGTGAATCATTTGCAGGAAGTTAAACCATAGTTGCAGATTAGGTAACTTTCAACCTGTATGAATTTTACATGCTCCTGCTCTGGAGCAAAGGAGAAACGAGAGACCTGCAACGAGGGGGGGGGGGGTCGCTTGGAAGGTTTTGAACATTAGGGGCGACTGTTGTCAGGGGTTTACAAACTGCATCCTGTGTACTACGAGTCAGGGTCAGGGCCTGTGTTGCGGTACTCTGTCTCTGAAACTATGTGGTGGCTCGAAGCACGTAGAAGGCCTGTGTCGTCGAACTCAATAGTTGCACTTAGACTTAGAGGAGTAAGGGGAGCTCGCCTGGCTCGTTCAACGAATCCGCAAGACTATAAGGCTCATCATGCACCCTGAACCCAAATCTAGACAAGACTCCGAAAGATGACCATAGATGGCTGCCTGCAGAGTTTCACAAGGCAGCTGGCAGCCTTCAGCCGTGAGCATCTTACAGCTGAGCGATATGTACATATTGTATACTTGTTTGGAGGAAGCAATAACATCAGCTGTGGTTTTCGGGCGCAGAACTGTTGATCCGTGAAAACAGTCGGTAAAATCGTGGTTGTACCTGGCCATGGGCGCAGCAGCTGTCCTGGTTTTTCGCAAATTGTCCCTGTCCGCGAAGCGGCACTCGCCTGCTCGGGACATGATTCCGAGCTTGCGCTAGCGTTGCATGGAGGAACTTGGCATGTCCTCGTAAGTCTGACGCTTTCGCTCCATGAGCTCTACGCCAATGTTTCTGTCACTATACACGCAGTCAGCTCCCATACCCCCTGTGTCGCTAAATCGATAAGCAGGACGAAGAAATCGCAAATCTGGTGCATCGGAGCTAGCCCGAAATCACGAATGAATAGGGCATAGTGGGTCACTTCCAAGCAGCCCTTAGGACATTTGGTTGCTTTGTCTGGGTCTCTGCGGTTATAATTCTCATTGCAAAACTGCACCGCCCGAAATTTGCTACGATAGCTAAAGCCGGCTAGACCCGGGCAAGATGCGAAAAATGATAGGTTCCGTCCCTGCATGTTGCAGGAATAGCTTTCGGAACCTGTGCAACTACTTTGGCAAGCACTGCTTGTGCCTGCACCTGCAGCAGAAATCGAAGTAGTTGCCCCGATGCTCTTGAACACGTCGTTTTGATTCTCCAGTTCAGCGGTTCAGGCCAAAGTGCACATCCTATTTGGTTTGTTATTGGTATCATATGGTGTTAGTCGTATTGGGTCACTACCTTGCTTGGTGCCACCTTCGTTGGTTTCATCAGCACATCCTGTTTAGTTTGTTATTGGTATCATATGGCGTTAGTCTTATTGGGTCATTCCCGTGTTTGGTGCCGCTTTCGTTGGTTCCATCAATGCAAGCAATGAGGCCCTTCAAGAGTGCAGCCGTGGTGGTTGTCAAGCTTTTGAGTCATCAACTATCAGAAGCAAGCCACGGCTTGAAAGAGTCAGTGCACAGGCCGCCAAGGTCCGAATTAGTTATTTAGCACGGCTATGTAAACCCTGGGCATGCGGAGAAAAAGCGATGCGCCTCGCAAGATCACACGAGGGCTCCGGTTTAGATTTTCAGAGTTATCGAGGTACAGACTCATTTTATGGGATTCGTCCCCTGCCGGTTCGGAGTTCGGAGGTGTAAGGCTTTGTCACCTGTCCTTCCTGCCCCTCGATGTTATCCATTTTCCAAGAGTTGGTGATCAGAGTTCATCTCCTGGGAACTCAGCCTGAGATTCTGATTGTCAGTAGAGCAATCAGGTACCATGGTTTGCACCCCTTCAGGGTTTGAGGAGGTCTACTTGGAGGTTCATGGGTAGTTCTAAGTCGGGTTATAAGTCCCTTAATATGGGTTTTAACTATAGTTATCTTACTTATAACCCTAACCATGAACCTCCAAGTAGACCCTAAACCCTATACCCTTGTAGAACCCCTATAGATCCCTTAAAAGGGGCCCTTAAAGGAACCCTTATAGGGTGTTCAGGGTTGAGGGAGCCCTTCATCTCCACCGGGACGTTTGCTTACGTAGTTGGGGTTGAGGGTTAAGTAGTTACATGCCGCAACAAGATCTTCCCGGCCTGTGCAATGCTGGGTCCTAGAATGAAAGTTCACTAGAGGCTGCCCAAACCCACATCCCAAACCATGGAGCTTACATTCGGAAGCCTAAGCCGTAGGGTGGGAAAGGATACAGCAGCCCAGGAAGGAGCCCAATTCCTTCCTTCACGACCAAGTGTTTACTTGCGCATTGTCATCTCAGCCCGTAAAAACCTCAAACTTGAACCCCCCCGAAGCCCCAAAACCCGAAGATCCCTAAATCCTAAGCTCCACTGCGCATCTACAGCCCCCTAAACTTGGCCCTAAGCCTTTAAAGCTTGATCCGAAGCTCTGCCGCGAAGCCCTCAGGAGAAGCAGCAGGAAGATGTGGGCGCTGCTGCGCTCGCACGACGTCGCCGCGAGGCCGATACGAGGGCTCCTCATCCCTCTCAGGGCTCCTTGGAGCTCCGGTATCCCCCTTAAACCCTAAATCCTAAAAAGACCTCGTCAGGCATGTCCGAGTTGCGAGAGCGTATAAACCCTAAGCCGTCCCCTACTTTGGCTGTGCGTCATAGGCTTGTATGAAGGGTGCTTAGGGGTTGCTGGGTTTGCTCGGGTGGCGTCGCCAAAATGGCGGCTTGCTTGGGAACGCTTCTCGAGGGAAAAATCTCACATCTAGGGGTCTATAGTCTATGTCCCTGAAGTTTCTCAAATTGCTGAATGTTGGGCACCTGCCGCAGACCTTTCTTCCATTAAACTACGAGGTTCTTTCAAGATTGAGGCTTTGTCGGTTCTCGTCAATATTAGTATGAGTGTAATTGAGGTTTAGCATTTTGCTATAATTTTTCTTGTCATTATTATGAGTGTTTGGTCGGTTCTTAGCATTGTATAACGAACCTTCGTGCAGATCGTATGCCTGCCAGCTGAGTAAGCAGTCTCAAGCATGGATCCGCGGCACGTGTGCATGTGTATTTGCCCGTCGATCATTCGGCCGGGACGTCGTGCAGCTTTTGATTGCGACTACTGCGGATTAGCGTAGAAGATGTGGCAACCAAACATTCTGTTGACCAATGACTCGGCATCACTGTTGCTCGAAATGCTGCGTGGCATCGCTACTCTTGGCTCATTTTGTTGAGTAGACGCTGGTGTTCATCCTGTGAGGGCCCCAGCGCATGCATAAAGCCTGAACTTTCTGCAAGTACTCGCACTGCATTACACAGAGCTATAAGCTTGCAAGCATTGCCATGGCACCTATTCTCATGAGGGCTCAAGGCTGGAAGTTGTTTGTTTTGTTGCTTTGGGCCAATGTGGGGCACGCGCACTTCCCTTGGCACAAACCCGTCGAGTTCTTGCAACTGCCATGTGAAGAGAGGGTTTGTTTCAGCCAGTCCAGAGGGGAGAGGAGTCCAGAGGGGAGAGGAGGAACGGGAGGATGAGGAGGCACCGCATCGGCGAAGGCAGGGCAGTCACAAGACTGGAGTCATTCTGATAAAGAGGACGGAATGTTGATTCTAGTGATTATTACGGTCGTAATTTTGAGTTGGTGATGATTCCAACCCGCATTCTGTACAACACAACTCACTCTCCAAGCCCGCCGTCGAAGGGTTGAGGTTTAGGGGGCTCCTCAAGCTTGGGTTTGGGGCTTTGGAACCTCGTCTCTCTTCCTAAGCTAGCTCCCATGCATGACTTCTGAATCAAAATCTGAAGCTCTCTAACCCTCAGCCGCTGCCTCGCCTGGCTTGTCCGAGCGTGAGTGCCCAAACCCCTAAACCGCTAAAGCCTTGTGGTGTCTACCCAAGGGCCCCAAGCAGTTCCTTTTTGGAAAGGAACTACTTTGGGGCCTATGGGTAGCTGATTGTCAGCTGGAGCTTCACCAGTCAAAGCACGTCTGAACTGAGAGGCCTCGTCTGGCGGCGTCCGAGTTGCGAGAGCGTAAACCCTAAGCCATCCTATGCCCTAAACCCTATAAGCCTCAAAAGCCCTAAACCTGAAAATTTAAGCCGTAAACCCTATATAAGCCCGAAACCTTATAAGCCCCAAATGCCGCCAGTCCAAGTGCTGTCCCTTCTGGCGCTGGCCTCGGTGGCCATTTCCGGCCCTGCTGCGCTCCGCGGTGCTGCCGGCGACTGGCCAAGAAAAACCTCGAAGCCTAATATAGGGGCCTTAGGCTACCTTAGGCCCACTATGCTGTAGTTATATTATAATGAGGAACCCCCCCAAAATAGAATAGGTAATTATTTACGCCCCTATAGTACTCATTTCAACAGGGTTGTTTTAAAGTGTTACTATTCGTCGGGGCTTTCATATTTTTTTATAACAGGGTTTAGGGTTTTACTTCTTCGAAGGGTACTGTAAGGTTTTCGTACGTGGCATATGTTATACTATACTTTTCGTAAGGAACCCCATAATCGTATCGGGAATTTCTTAACGCCCCTTCTTACATCTTACTCTAATCGTGCTTCTTTAGATGCTTTTGTTTCAGCCACTTCTAGCCTACAAAATCTACGGCGCCATACGATAGAAGTTTTACTAGGCATTTTCGAATTTTCTTAGAGCATGTAGCTCACAGTCATGGGAGTGTTTAGTCGGATCGACCGGCCGAAGCTCGGAGCTTAGTTGACATGTTCCTTCCTCTCCGGTTTAGGGTTGTTGGTTAAGGAACTTAGATCCAAGCGGGCATATACAAGTCGGTGCAAAAGGAACGTATTTGAGGCTTGCAAGCAAAGATCGGTGTTTCGAGGTGCAGCATCTTGGGAATTTCGGGCTTAGATAATGGGCCGTGTTGGAGCTACGCCTGCCAAATCCTGATGGATCTGAAGGAGAATCCAGATGTAGTAGAACATGCAAGCTAGTAAAGGGCCGAAGACATATCTTTATCGTGTTCCTATTCTGTTGTCCTTAGCTGTTTATTCCAGTTTTCAGGATTTAGGACGGAGGGTTGGCAAAATCCGAGGTATCGACCTGCCCAAGGCGAATGGCACCAACAGCTCGAACCACAGCTCCAACGAGACTGTGGAGACGATTGAGACGGTTGCTGCTGAAAGCAGCCTGGCACAGGGGTTCTTCGTCTCGGGGATTGCTAAGGCCTAACCGAAACGCTGATGCACCAATGCCCTAGTACTCGAACTACTTCAGGGCCTACAGGAAGGCCTTGGGGAGAATCTTTACGGGGAGCTTCGACGTCTTTGCTTGGATTCGAGAGGGGTTTGAGTCATGCGAACGTGTGGGATGCTTTGCAAGCAAGCCTGCGGTTCTGCAGAAGCGCGAGGTGTCGATGCGGCAGGTTACGACTGGTTCACTGTCACATCTGCACAGTCGAAGCATAGGGACCCACTAGGAAGGAAATTAGGCTGCTAAAGGCTGGCTCCTTGCGGAGAGGCCAGAGGAGTTCGGTGACAGGTGGAGACATGATACACGGTTGGGGGTGCCGGCGGCTGGGCTTCAGACTTTAGGCAGATGGCCCCTGTAGCCTTGTCCGACTTTGTTGATGGCCAGGGCACTGCGCGTCACTCGTGAAAGGCATGCTTGCCGAGATAGACTCCATGCAAGTACGGTCAAAGTTTAGGGCTTGAAACGAATCGCACCCACACATCCGCCCAAAACACGTCGGCATGTTGACCTTCACTGTGATCCCCATCCCTGAACCCTGCAAAAATGTCTGATCTGCTAACCATGTGTAAAGCCTTGCACCCCCTGCCATAGACCAGGCAACCTTAAGACGTCGATCTTATCTTCTTGGGTTTAGGGTGTAGGGTCCAAGGCAACATGCCGCCTTTCAGCCCCTTGCGTGCGGTTGCCTACGGCGCTTTGCCCTGTGTCTCTCCGACGGCTTCTCGCCATCTTTGGCACATGGGAGTTTCCGAAAATAGGGGTACCTTATCTTGGGGTCCTTAAAGTAAGGATCCTACTATTTAGGATACTATACTGGGGTCCCCTCTTTTCGGAAACTCCCACATGCTGGTGCTGAGTGTCATGAGGCGGTGGTAAGTGTAAAAAAACAAGAAGCCCCCCAGAGTAACTTGCAGAAAGAGTCATGCCGTGTGGACTGTGTACATGCTATATGTAGATATGTATGTCTTATATATATATATATATATGAAATGCTCATATATATATACATACGTATATATATATATATATATATGTATTAAATTGGGGCACCCCCGATTCCCCCAACACCCAAACCCAAGCTGAGCATCTACTACATGCGCCGGAAGTCCTACCTTATGTCGGAGCATCATCAATCGAAGTGTTCCTTAAATCCGTGGGCTCCTACCTTGAATTGCAGCATTTCTGTAAGTTTAGGTTGTCCAAAATATCTACATTCAAAATTTGTAGAAAAACGAATCCAAGAAGTCTAGGTGCGAACTTTGTGTTGTATAATTTGTGCATTTTTTTGAATTTTTCATCGGTTACAAGTGAATCGGAAGTTTCCAGATTAGTATAAAGCTTGGGGCAAGATCTTTAGTTTCGTTCCAGCTGTGGTAGCAGTGTTGCACAGCCGGACTGTCTATGTGCAGTTCTTCGAGAAAGCCTACACCTCTTAACCCACACCCCTGAACCCTGCCTGCTTGTTGTGCGAGTGTGCCAGTGGAACCTGAACCCTAAACCCCGAAGCCCTGAACCCGAGCACTGCGAGGGCATGGTTCGTGTGCTTCTTGCAAGAAGCAGACAGTGCATGGCATGCTTAGGAAATAGCCGCGAATAACTGATGCTCTTCCCCGTAACCTATTCATGAGTCGCCATCCGCTCAATCGGCGCTGATAAGACAGATGCTTTTCAGTGTTGCATCGTTCAATCATTCTGTATTGCTTGCAATATCTGTTGGAATTAGAATACGGCCCAATTGACGCGACCTGCAGTACCCATGCAAGATTCAAACTCATGTAGTGCTCAGCTACAACTCTTGCTTACGACACTTTTTGTCTTACGACACTATCAGTACGTAATGTGTGTTTGCGTGTTCGGGCCAACATATCAGGACCACCCAGCCAGTGCTTGGATGCTGTATGTAGGTAATATAGTTGGGTAGATATAAGCGCAATCCTGTACACTCACCTTATGACTCATATGACCGTTGAGTGTCGTTGACTGCCGTCTGTTTAATTGAGTAGGCGACAGCAAAGATGACGAGCAAAAGCCGTGGCGAAGTCACAACAAAGCAATGTTACGTGTGCAGATGTACACAAACTTGCTTGCATCCAGCAGCTACTGCAGCTACTGCAAGTGCTGAGGCCACAATAAAGGCACGAAGCAATGGTTCATGATTGCTAAGCCATTGCGTGGTAGCTTGAATGATTCGCAACCTTTAAAGCCTTACCCATAAGCCCCATAGTACTTCCTATGTGTGATTACCTAATAGGATTCTACATCTGAACCCGAAAAAGGAAACTAGTATGGGGCCTCTAAGTAGTTGCCTTGGC